AAAGAAAGAAAGGAAAAAAGAAGGTGAAGGAAGGGAAAGGAGGAGACAAGGGTGGTGAAGGAGAAGGTGCCGGCAGCCCTAGCCGAGGTGGAGAGTTGCTTGGAGGGTTGACCGGACGTTGACCGGAAGGTTGACCGGGGTCTTACCGTGTTGACCAAGCGTTGATCGAGGAGTTGACCGGCGCCGTTGACCAAGACTTTGACCAAGCTGGAGTTGGTAACATCTTGCCAAGCCCTTAGCCTATCCCCTCGCCCTGTGGATGTGCACTCACCCTGCGGTACTTGCTGAGTCTGAGTCTGTCTGTCTCTTCTTTCTGCATCGAGTCTCTTCTGTCCTAAGTGATAGTACTCTGTGGCTGAAGGATAGGGCCTGGATGACGAAACCCCTATCTAACCTTGTAGAGATGATACCGTGTCTAATCTCACTGTCCCGGAGGCCTAACCCTCCCAAGGACCTGTGCTGACCGGCGGGGCTCGGATTGGGCGTGACACGGTGGGCTTGAATGGCAGAGACGTGGGCTGACACACCAGGCAGTCTTAAGTGTTGAGGGCCTTGTTGACCCAAACCCCTACCGGACCTAGTAAGGCAAAAGACTGTGTCTGACGACTCGACTGTCCCGGGGGATACGAACCCTCCAAAGGACCGGTACAGACCGGCGGGCTGCTCGGTGTGGCACGGTAGGCCCGAAAGGCTGAGTTGTGGGCTGTGCAACAGGCAGAACCAAGCTGATCCCGTCGTCCTGTTTGCGACGTTAAAGAATTCTTGAGGAGTTACGGGGGATCTCCTTAAATGCCTCCTGATCAGCCACTGGTTCAGTAGTGACAACCTTAGAGTAGGTAAAGGCTAGTGACCATAGCTGACAGGGTTCTACCCTGTGGTCCTTAGAGAGTCTATCAGTGAGTTCTGCGGGTAGGTCTACGTGGTGAGGAGTGGGACTGTCCTGTCGTGCACCTATCACCATGGATGATTACCCGATGTATGGTTTACTTGTGAGGTTCTCCCTCTGGGGACCCTCTGTCGGCTCCTCTTTCCACTTGGCTTCTGGCATACCGTTACTTGTAGGGTAGAGACTAGGGGCGGTACGACTACCAACCCCTACACACCCGAAGAAAAGGCCAAGGCCGACGCGATCCTGAAAGAGAGGAGATAAAAGAAGGAGGCCAAGAAGAAGGCCCTGTTGGAAATGCAGGCGGCAAAGTGGAAGAAGATAGAGGAGGAGATGGTCAGAGAGAAAGAAAGGTTGAAGAAAGAGGAGGAGGAGAAGTTAAAGGAAGTAGAAGAAGAAGAAGAAGAAGTAGAAGAGGAGCCATTGGAGAGAGGAAGGAGAGGAAACAGGGGGTATGAGGAGGCGTTAATGTATGTGTCGAAGGACGAGCAGGAGGCGGCCGTGCAAGAGTGGGAAGCTGAACGAGACCCACTCAGGCGACAAGTGCTAGAAGATGAGAAGAGGATGGAGTGGAAGTTCCGCCTCACTAGGGAGAGGAAGAGAAGAATGGAGGCGGCAACAGAGGCGGCGAAAGAGTTGGAAGAGGTCCGGAAGCAAAAGGATCAGATGGCTGTCCAAGTAGATTTATTGGGAAAGGTAGAGATCCTGGTCAAGAACGTGGAACGCCTGGCAAGGGTCCACGAGGAGCAACTTTTATTTGGGAGAGGCCAGGACATTGCTGTGCGTTCAATACGGTCGGGACTTAGGGACTTTGCTCGGGAGTTGGCCATGCAGGTGGGCTCACATGTGACAGCCCGCCTCGAGGGCACTGAACGATACTGTGTTGGTGCCATTGAGGGCGCCAAGCTGACTGCCCCAAAGGAAGAAGAAGCACGTCCCCGTAGAGAACCGATCAAAGTGAAGTTCCCTGATTCCTACAGTGGAAAGAAGGACGAGAACTTTGACAACTGGGAGGCCAACGTTAAAACGTACGTGCACCTGCAGAAGGTGTCTCCCGATGAGCAGGTCCTAATCGCCATCCATGCGTTGAAGGAAGAAGCCGCCAGTCTCGCACACTCCTCTGTCCGCGCTGCTAATTGCAGCGACGATGTGGTTGCCTACTCTGCCTTTACCCCCCTCGCTGATTTTCTTAAGTTGTTGCGCGAACGATTTGCAGATGTCTCGCGCAGCGTCAGAGCCTCTGACCGATTGCAGACTATCCACTCTCACCAGTGGAGGAGTGCCAAGGCACTCAAGGGAGTAATGGATGAATTAGTGGCTGTTCCTGACCATGGGGTCACAGAGACCCAACCGGTCAACCTCTTCTATCGGGCTATGCCCGAGTCATTGCGTGGGCACTTCTTCGAGAAGAGCCAGCAACCCACCATGACCTACGACGCATTGAGCAGGGAAGTGGTGGCGTTTAAAGCAAAGTCTGTGTCAGTCTCCACTTTCTGGCACAAGGACCTGGACAAAGGAAAAAGGTGGAAGGGTCGCACTATCTCAGGGTAGGTGAAGACAAAGGATAGCCTGATCCTTACCTTAGATGAGGGTAGTGTTGACGAGATCCCCTACGACCAGATAGAGTGGGGGCTGGATGACGAGGACAGCGGCGCGAGTCGAGGGAGAACTTACGCTACTGTCGCGGCCAGAGGGAGGCCGCAAGGAGGAGGACGAGGCCAGGGCCAAGGGGGTCGGACCTCAGGGAACCGTTCTCAGGGCGATCAAGGGGTTAGCGGCAGAGGAGGAAACCGCCAAGCGGGAGGAAGGGGTCAAGGTCCCCCACAAAACCGGTCTGGGAATAGGTCCCCTTATAGGAGAAGTCGTTGGCACCCAGGGCTGCCACAAGGCAGGCCTTGGGAAGACCTGGGCCTGGACCCGCGCTTATGGCAACAGCGTGTGAATCAAGGGAAGTGGATCTACTGCGGTGACCCTAGCCACATCATCAAATACTGTCCGAAGGATAGAGAGGCTCGTTCGGCTGCACAAGAAGCAAAAGGCAGCCGCCGGTAGGGGTAGCAACTGCCTCTACCATAGGGCCATGTGGAGACAAGTGAGCTAGCCGGCATGAACCTCCCAAACCACATGAGCCCATGGCAGAAGTTGCAGGCCGGTGCCTAGATAGCTGCCCAGAGACTGCGTGTGTTAGAGTCTCTCTAGGCACTTCCCTCACAGGCGAGGCAGAGGAATTGAAGGAGAGAGTGCCCGCCTGGGCCAAGACGAGGAAAGAAAATAGGGGGCAACTCATATTAGTAGATACAAAGATTTTTAGAGGCCGAGCTGGCGCCTTAGTGGATAGGGGAGCCACTCGTAGTTATATCAGTAGGAAGGCGCCGCAGAAGCTGAAGTTGCAGTTGAAAGTCCAACGACTAGCAGATCCCATAGTAAGTATCCTCGCGGACAATCGCACCATGCGAGTAGAGGAGTACGTAGAGGGAGTCCAGGCGTATTTCCGCCTAGAAAAGGATGGGAAGGTGGAGAAAGTTCTCCATTCCCTGACTCTCCTCGTAGAGGATAGCCTCCCGTTTGACATAGTCCTAGGTATGGACTGGGGAGAGGCAGTTGGGCCCACACTCCGCTTGAGAGAGCACGAGTGTAGGCTCCCTAGTCCATCAGGCGGTGTTAAGACTGCCCGTCTGTTTCATGCCTCTGGAGTAGACAACTCCCTGGGGCATTGCTGCCTTAGCGCTCCTGCGTTCGCAAGGTTAGTGAAGAAGGAGCAGCTAGAGGAACAAATTTTTGTAGCCTATGTTAGGCCAGTTGTTGAGCCTAAGGAGGAGAAGCCTATAGACCCTGCTATTGCCAAGCTGTTGGAAGAATTCACTGACTTAGCGAAGCCGCCGACAGGAGTAGTACCGCGGCCGATCCAGCATCGTATTGAGATTGAGCCTGGCAGTAGGACCCCCAAGGGAGCAGTGTATAGGATGTCCCTGCGGGAGTTGGAGGAGCTGCGCAAGCAGTTAGACGAGCTCCTAGAGAAGGGTTGGATTAGGCCCAGTTCGTCTCCATTTGGAGCACCTATTATGTTTGTCCCCAAGAAGGAGGGAGAGCTTAGATTGTGTATAGACGATAGGGGTCTGAACGCTATCACAGTTAAGAATGCTGAGCCACTGCCCAGGATAGACGATCTTTTAGATTGGGTGCAAGGGTGCAGATATTTTCCGAATATAGATTTGAAGTCCGGATATCATCGGATAGAGGTTCATCCTGATGATCAGTACAAGACAGCGTTCCAGACTAGATACGGGCAATACGAGTTCATAGTGATGCCCTTTGGACTAACCAACGCGCTAGCGACCTTCCAGCGATGTATGAATGATTTGTTTAGGCCGTGGTTAGATAGGTTTGTTGTAGTTTATTTGGATGACATCCTAGTGTTTAGCAAGAACCTCCAAGAGCATCAGGGCCATCTGAGGCAGGTCTTGGAGAAGTTGAGGGAAGCTAACTTCAAGATCAACGCAAAGAAGTGCGAATGGGAAAAGACCCAAGTTTTGTATTTGGGCCACGTCTTAGACGGAGACGGCATCAAGCCAGAGGATAGTAAGATTGCAGCGATCAGGGATTGGCCTACACCACGTACGTTGACAGAGTTGCGGTCATTCTTAGGCCTAGTGAACTATTATAGGAAGTTCGTAAGGAACTTCTCCACTATTGCTGCGCCCCTTCGCAGGTTGCTAAGGAAAGAAACCATCTGGAAGTGGGATAAGGACTGCACGTCTGCCATGAAGAAGTTGAAGCAGGCACTGGTAGAGTATCCAGTCCTTAAGGTGGCCGATCCGTCCTTACCCTTTGTCGTCACTACGGACGCCAGTCAGTACGACATCGGTGTTGTTCTGCAGCAAGACAATGACAATGGATATAGGCCCGTAGAGTTCATGTCTGCTAGGATGCCTTCAGAGAAGGTTGCGTTATCTACCTATGAGAGGGAACTCTACGCTCTCAGACAAGCGCTAGAACACTGGAAGCACTACTTGCTTGGGAGGCACTTCAAAGTCTATTCCGACCACGAGACGTTAAGATGGTTAAAGACGCAGGCCAAGATGACACCTAAGCTTACTAGGTGGGCCGCAGAAATAGACCAGTATGATTTTGAGCTCAAGCTAGTCAAGGGGAAATATAATGTAGTTGCAGATGCTTTGAATAGGAGAGTCGACTACTTTGGAGCAATAGTTCACTATCTGGACATAGGGAGAGACCTGCAGCAAAAGGTCAAAGAAGCATATGCACAGGACCCTATCTATAGTGACCTCCTCAAGAGAGTAACGGAGGCCCCAGASACCGAGCCAGATTACCGCACTACTGACGGACTGTTATTTGAGAAGACTAACGTAGTTGACCGTCTGTGCATTCCCAATAGTGAGGAGATCCGTAGTTTGATCTTAGGAGAATGTCACGACACAGAGGGTCATTTTGGTTGGCAAAAGACTCAAGCCAATCTAATGCACGCGTACACCAGACCGGGAATGAAGAATGACTGCATAGAGTATGTCCGCAGTTGTAAAGTTTGCTAGCGGAATAAGACTACTACGCGTGCCCCGCTAGGTCTCCTCAGACCCTTGCCTATTCCTGATCAGCCCGGAGATTCTGTGTCCATCGACTTCATGGACGCGGGCGTCAAGAGTAGGCATGGCAAGAGCCAAGTCATGGTGATAGTCGATAGATTTAGCAAGTATGCTGTTTTTATACCTTTGCCTTCCGAGGCACGGACCAAGTTAGTGATCCGTAAGTTCTTTGATCATTGGGTCAGTGAGCACGGGGTCCCATTGTCCATAGTTAGTGACACCCGGTTCACAAGTCAGAACTGGCAGGAGTTGATGAGAGTCTATGGCTCTAAGTTGCTGATGTCGTCTGGCCGTCATCCTGAGACCAATGGTCAGACTGAACAGATGAATAAGATCCTGCAGCAAGTTCTGAGAATGTATATTAGGCCAGATCAAGTTGACTGGGATGAGATTCTCCCCAAGGTAGCCAGTGCTTACAACAATAGTGTGCATTTGTCTACGTGCCGCACCCCCAACGAGTTGCACAAGTCCTTTAGACCGCCGCAGACCGTTTGAGGGACTTAACCGGGATCAGATTCATAGGCTACCGCCCGGTACTAGGGAGTTTGCTATACAACACGAAAAGGAGCTAGCTACTGTTACAGAGAATCTCAGGAAAGGCCAGCATAGGATGATAGAGCAAGCCAACAAACATCGTCACCCATCACAGTTCCAAGTAGGCGACTTAGTCTGGGTTGAAGCTAAAGAGTTTGCTCCTGAGGAGAACATCTCGCAAAAGTTACTGCCCGCGTATAGAGGACCGTGGCCAGTTCTAGAAGTCAAGGGCGGAGAGGATGGGCCGTCCTACACTATCGAGATTCCCGTACACCTCCACACCTACCCAGTTTTCCATGCGTCAAAGTTGTTACCATGCATAGTAAGTGACCAGTTTCCATCTAGACGATCCATGATCCCGGCATTGTAGGTGAAGACGTGTTTAGAACAGGAGGTAGAGGTCGTCCTCAGAAACAGTATAAAGTCAGATTTGCATATCAGGAACCAGAAGACGACCGGAGCTGAACTTCTAGAAACAGCTCCCGACATAGTCCGAGCCTACGAGAAGGATAGGAAAGGTAAAGGTCCTGCCTTGGACTGAAGTATTCTCGGAGGACCTCGAATTTAGGCCGGCGGGAGTGAAACGGTATTCACCAGTTCGCAGTAGCCGACGCCGATCCCAGGGCTCGATCCCGCGACCTGTGTATTTGTAACAACTGGTAGGCCGTCGTAGGGTTTGTAGGTTGCATGGGTTTGATCTGTAGACCTGTCGGTTAGGAGTCTTAGTCAGGTTTAGAGGTCGTAGCCACAGCTTTTCCGAAAGGTCAAGGTCGTAGCTAGTCCAGTCATGAAGAGTCAAGGTCGTAGCTGCGACAGGACCGAAAGGCCAGGTCCACGGCCTTCTAGAAGGTCCCAGTGGTGGCTAGGCTGCCCAAGTTTAGGCAGAGGCAAGTGGGCAAGTGGGCAAGTGGTGGAAGTCCACCGCGCAGAGTCAGCAGTCCCAGTCCAGTCCGTCCGGTCCAGTCAAGCAAGTACCGCCTGGGACTGTGTGCACCATGGGCCAGGGAAACAGGGCAGACCGACGAGTCACAGAAGTATAAATCAAGAGGCCGTGCACAACCATTCATTCATTCCTGCGGAAGCCATGCGGAAGCGCTGTCTCAGCGGCTTGTGCGAGGAGGTCTGCAGTAGCGCCCGAGGACGAAGTGGGCGAGAGAGACGAAGTGCAGCCATAGCGATAGGGTAGAGGCAGCCATAGCTGCCATAGCTGTAGCTTAGAGCGATGCGTGTGTGTGTGTTGTGTGAGTGTTCAGGGTGATGCGTGTGGGATATCCAGGGTGATCCAGTGTGTGTGAACAGTGAGTTGTTGGGCGCTGAGACGCCATAGCCAGTGAAAGTGAACTCTTATCYGGATGCCATATCTCTGAGTACTGTGTGGGCGCATGTCGCCAGTTTGCTGCGCTGCTGTTTACATGCATGAAAGGTGTGAATGAGACGGGTCTGATTGCAGTACTTTCAACTTCCATCGCTCGTGTCATCCGAAAACTTCTTGTGGATTTTGATTCGCTTCATTTCTACATTTATGTTGGGAATCCATACAGCCCTTCTTGCATCATTATATCTGTAGATTTTTAGTTTTTCCGTTTTTTCGTTTGATTTTTTGTGCTTTTTGTTGCTTGCGCGTTTATTTTATTTATTCGCCTTTTCAGTTCCAGTTCGGTGTTTACTCTGCTTCTAGGTACTTACGGAATATATTCCGTACTTTTGTGTCCTTGCAGTTTCTGATGAAGGCCCAGATCGCCGTTCGAGTAATTCTCCATGGGTAGTCCATTAGTCTGAGTTCTCGACAAAACAACTTTAATACCGTGGTTAGATCTGCGACCTCATATGTGTTCGCCACCATTATGTGAAACGTGCCAATTATCGTCAGCACTTTTGTCTTCTCGGAACCCGCACTCCTGAAGTGACGCAATGTCCTCTGAGAGAGAGAGAGAGAGAGAGAGAGAGAGAGAGAGAGAGAGAGAGAGAGAGAGAGAGAGAGAGAGAGAGNCCTGAAGTGACGCAATGTCCTCTGAGAGAGAGAGAGAGAGAGAGAGAGAGAGAGAGAGAGAGAGAGAGAGAGAGAGAGAGAGAGAGAGAGAGAGATGGTGGGAAGGGAGGATTAAGATAAATGTTACCCGCCTTGTGACTTGGCTGAAAAACAGAATAAACCCCTGCGCAAGGATGACACGCATAAATCAAGTAATGGTTCAAATTAATAAAAAAAAAAAACAAAAAAAAAAACAGCATTATTAGAAAAGACAGCTCCCGAGTCGATAAACAGCATTATTAGAAATCGAGTAATGGTTCAAATTAATTAAAAAATATAAACCAGCATTATTAGAAAAGACAGGGAATCAACAAGAAGACACAGTGGCGCAGATAACTGAAGCACGGCAATTGCCTTGGTAAAGAATGTGTTACCGCTAGTCGATAGACTCTTGGAATGCCGCTCCCCGAGATGTTGTGATCATTGGGATGGGGAAATGGATGGTGGGAGGAAGGGGAGAAGGGGGGAGGGAGAGGCCGAGAAACGCGGGGAAGGGTAGAGGAGGGGAAACGACAGGGAGGATGTATAGAACAGTCGATCGGTCGCGGACATACGTGCATGCCTTGCTCGTTGCTGCACGATCACACACGCCGATGTGCTGATTGAGTTTATAACTAAGAAGAATAGACCGAACTGATCTCTAGTTTTCATGTAAAGTTTATTTGAAATTTAAAGTTTTGAAAATAATTTCATTTGAAAATTAAATTAAACTCTGGTCTTAGGCACGATTGAAGTAGAAAATTAGAGGAACTTGCTCATGTCAGATCACATTTGGGTGGGCTGAATGTCATGACCGGTATGGCTGCAGTTTTTAACTCCGGGTCACGGTTGCAGTGTAAAGGCATCTGGCTGTTATGGCCGAGGTCACCGGTTCGATTCAGCTGTGTTGGGTCTGGGTACGAGCGCAGTAACCTATCAAGGGAGGCTGCATGGGCAGTGGTTTCTGCGTGAAGGCTGGTTGCCACCTGTGGAGGATCTATTAGATGTCAAGTGCTGACGTGTAAGTCCTTGCTGCAACCGTGCTGGGGTGGGCTGAATGTCATGATCGGTATTGCTCCAGTTTTGAACACCGGGTCACGGTTGCAGTGGTAAAGGCATCTGGCTGATATGGGCGAGGTCCCGACTCGATTCGATTGTGTTGGCTCCGGGTATCGATGTGGCTCTACATCCACAAAATCTACCAACAACACGGTGTACCAAGTGGTGGAGAGAGGCAGCAGGGGAGGACGGGGGTCCACTGAGCGGTAATCTTCATTTCTGGCCATTGATAGCTGATATCTCTTTCCCGTCTTCCGCGGAGGATAGCGTGCCATGTTTAATAATGTACAGAAGCGGTCTTTCCGGTCCGATGCAGTCATGACGAGGGGCTTTTGCGTTCAGGTGAAGCTGGGAGTGGCAGTTATATATTCATATTATTGTTTATATTATAGTTGTTAACAGCTGAAAAAAAACACGAGAAAAAAAGAACATATAATGATCCAATATACAGATGAGTCGGTGAACGATGAAACAGTCTGTCACAGCCCCACTGTCGTTCCTTGTCCTGGTCTCTCTTTCTGCCTAGGGTTCACTGGGGAGCTCTCAAGGAGTGTGGGCCTCGCTCCACTACTAAAGATTCGACACGTACGTGGAGTGTTCTGTGGACAAGATACGTCAGACTTATTGAGCATTCTGAATGCATTGGGACCGTTATCAGCTTCAGAGACATTTAGCAGAATGTTGTGCAGTGGACCGAGGCATCTCTTCTCTTCTCTTCTCTATACTCCTAAAGCAAGGAAAGGGCCCAGCATGACGCGTCCCGCCGGGCCCAGCAAAAATCGTACCGGAGGGCCGCGGGACACGGGCGACCGAATAAAGGGGCGGCGTTTCGCGGCGGAATGGCAGGGCGGACAGAGACCGCGGCGCGAGGGACTTGGCCGTGGCGTTTCGCGGAGGGCGCAGGCAAGGGGAAAAGGGTAGGCCAAGGTGCGAAAGCGTGGCGCGCGGAAATTGACCGTGGCGGTTCGCGGAGGCCCAGGCGTTCGGAGGTGCGGCGGGCCGG